ATATATATATACACACACTATATATATATATATATATATATATATATATATATATACATATAAAGCCAAAACCAAAACATGTTTGCCTTCTTATCTGCCTCAGTTGTGAGGAACATACCACGTTGTCTTCCTGGCACCTTCTACAGTACCAGAGGATATCCTGAGCTGGCTCCACAAACACCATAATACCACCCAGCATTGATTTGTTTGACTACCTGTTCATGTTTAAACAATTCAGCTTCCCTCCATAGATTTGCAGGAGTAGGAAGAACATGGTTGACAAAGCCTTCAGTGGTTGCTGTTAGTTATAGTCATTAGAGTAAAAAAAAAGAGGGAAATATTAAATTTATTACATCCTCAACCACAATCTGCAGAAGTCAACTGAACTTAAATAAAAAGAATTGTGTGAATGTGATATTAAAGAAAGCTTAAATGATTCTACGAGGACATTAAAAGTGTGGATAATACAGGAGCACACATTTGCAGCTCCACTTCATTTCCTTTAGCAACGAAAGGCCTTGGCCACTTTTAGAGACTGTCACTTTTGTTACTCTTTCAATCACCCGCTATTATTTAGTTAACAGTGATGTATGAGCCTCACACCCAGTCATATATAATTCATGGACGCTTCCATGAAACTCAATCTGTCCTTCACTGTCTCGCCAGCCTCATCCTGACTGTGTGAGAGACAGTTTGACTGGCAGGCAGTGAATCTCTGACTTTACATAACGTGGACAGAAAAATACCACTCAGACATTTTACCCTCTTGTGAACAGGTCAGTGGAGGCCGGCTCTGAGCTCGGAGGATGAGAACAGTTTCTGTGTTGATGAGAAATGTCTGGAGCGGATGAAGTCAGAATCGACAGGTGTCTGAACGCCTCTGGTCTACAATGATAAAGAGTAGTAACTGCTTTTAGTACAAGGCAGTAAAACTGATCACAGAAACCTCATTGTCTCCCTCTTTATTGTCTCCTGTGAACAGAGGTGGGTGGTACAGTATATACAGGTGTACATTCGTGAAAATGAAACATTTAACGTTTGAAATCCTTAATTATTGTAGTTGTATGTATTTCGTCAGTTTAGATTCAGATTAACTTCCTCAAACACTAATTACTAATATACTATACTATTACTACTACATATATTACTATTATTAATTACTTGTCAAGTATAAGATATGAAATATGAAGATCCTGTTCCGTTTTGTGTAGGGGACGTTGCCTTTCTCCACATCACTGTGACTGCTGATGTGGCCAGGGAATCTGTTACTTCTCCTCTGGTGCAGTTTTTTTCTAAAATCTGGACCGATGACGGGGGGCTTAAGAAACAGTTTTAGTCCTAGTTGGCCATCCATCAAACTTTATGTAATCTTTTATTGCGCTTACTGCTGCCTGAGGAAGGAGCAGCGATTGACAGTTGTTTTGAGTGTATACCAAAAACTGCAGAAAATCAAAACAAGTATAGGTTTTTTTAGTTTTTTGTATCACTGGTCAAGCGGACCATCAAAAAAACGGATGTTTCTCTTTGGAGCTCTGAGAAAACATGACATTTTAATCTCTGGCGTCTAAAGCCAACGTGTCTAAAAGAGACATGTAAAATCTACATTAACTATTAGGTGACAGTCTGTGAGGTAGATTAAACAGAAATAATCTAGATTTAATTAAAATCCATGTAATTGTACATTAATTTAATTTACTAATGCTATTAATTCAGATGACGAGCACTTCCCCCTGCGGCTGGAACAAATGAACTCCCTCTGCTGCTTTTGGGCTGCTGCTGTCGCTGTTGGTGGGTTCAGATCGCCGTGGAGAGCGCGGGGCTCGACCTCTCCTCACTACGCTCTGACTATGCTACCTGATAGCACAGCTCAGCTCTCAATGATGGCTCACTCTGTTTAATGAGTTCTCCTGAAGCGTTATGTCGCCAGCTGTTGACCACCCTACTGAGATCAGATAGTAATCATCACATAAGAGACGCAGCTCTATATTTAGTGTGTGCTACTCGTTGCTGCTGTCTGTTTTCCCCTCTCTCTTGCAGAAGCAGGTGCATCATCATTGTGTTACAGATTTTTGTGATGAATGAGTGGACCAGAGTGGATTTAAAGGCAGCAGCAGTTTGGTGGATATATATCTTGTTCTGCTGCTTCTGGGTGTGTGTTATGTAACCTCACACACACACACACACACACACACACACACACACACAGACACTAGAGTGAAGCACCACAGACACCTAACGTAATACACTCACACACTCTCCCAGTTGCTAACTCAGCGTAGTTTTTTGTTTATTTCTCTGATTTGAGCTTGCTTTAGAAAATGTTGGTGAAACTCTCCCTGTCATCACATTTGTTAAGTAAATGTTACCTCTGACAAAAAGATCATTGTTCTTACCTTGTTTTCTAAGTAGCAGGATAAGATGGTAAGAAAGATGCTGATAACAACCCTCAGAGGATTGCTGTATGTAGGAATTGCAGTCGGGCTGCAGCTATCGAATATTTTG